AAACATCTATCCACCCCCACCCCCACCCCACCAAGGGCGGTGCCAATGACTAAAGTGTCTTTAGGTCATTCCCAAAGAGGGGGGGGGGCATTACTTTGTTCTTATGCACAGTAGAATTGCTTACTATCGTCATTTTTCATCTACTTCTTTTGTATGTTTGTCATACTCTTGTGACCCGCTATTTCCGGGGAGCCTTGATAGTCGAAGCAGACCTTGTGCTGTTGAAGCTAGAGAGGTGAGCAGAGTAAGCCAGGTTCCCCGTAAAGACTTCTCTGTTAACATCCACCCTTTGGCGCTCATATGACCTTATACAGTAGAGAGGTTCGTAAAACCTCTTCTAAAACTAAAACATATATCGTCCTCATCTTTCCCTCTTCTGTTTTGTGTTTATTGTTACTCTCTAATTACACCTCCAGTCTTCGGCACTTATGACGCTTACTAAAACGGAGGCATAAGAGATGTAGAACAAAATATAATCTCTCACAACACTGTCTAACTGGGGTTAGAAGACGCACATACCATTATCTCCGAGCTTTCACGATGGCGTTTGTGACACACGTTAGCCTAGTTTTCGAGGTCCATGCGGTTAAGTGTTAGCTTCTGCACGTTTCGACAATTTTACATTACTTTATCTGTACTTGAAAGACGAGTAGTAATAGTTAGGTAACTCCAATAGATCTATAGAAAATTTGTTAAAAAGGGAATGAAATAAGGGCAAAAGAAAATAAGTAACAAAATTAATTACCTTAAATAGATCTAAATGTAACGATAGCAGCCCAAAACTGTGGATATGAGTGAGCAAAGAATGAGACCTTCTTAACAAGCAAAAATTGTATCGACAGGAGTGTAAAACATTAGCAAACATGTATGCAGATTTGAAACCAAAGCATGAAAGATAACACGTTGAAGTTTTAACTTTAATATGTCGTATGCGTCATAATAATATATCGCCTTTTTGAAGATTTAAGAAATGGTAAGAGAAAACAAACACAAAGGTGTACAAGAAATTGTAAATTTCCACAAGCCTTTACAATCAACAAACGAGAGCAAATTAAAGTTCTTACCATGATATATTACATTATTTAGTGCTTATAGAGCCGTCGTCTAAAAGATCTAGCACGGAGTTTTTGGGATTTTTTTTAAAAAACCATGATCAAACAAGAGATCTAATGCGTGAGAGATCCGCCTTCTAAACTTACTGTTAACTAACTGAACACGCACTGCTTTGGAGTACTGTAAAAAGTAAGTCATCTTTATGAATATCCTTCATTTTACATACAAACTTTATTCATGTGTTTTCTTTATCTAAAACTTCAAAGGCCAGACAACAACAGGCATAGATTTCTAGACCTACTAGTCTATGGTTCGAAATATACAGCACTCTTTTGGTTTGCTGCTGATCGGGAATCTCGCTACCTTAGAATTACTATTAACTTCTATCTGACATTTCTGGCCGTTCGTAATTACTAAGATCATGAAGTCAGAAACCAAACATTAATGTTCTATCGCCTCTATCAAAATCATAATATTATTCGGAGTCGTGATCGAGATATTCAAAGAATTGCATTCGGAAAAGCGTGACATGTGAAACTAAATTTTAGGTCTAGATCTAGGTACTGAGCAGATAGAACTGTGTAATTTAAAAGGTGGCAAAGTGTATCCGTAACGTCTTCAAATAGTTAATGCTGCTAGGAGTTAGAGTATAAAAACATGAACACACCTGACATGCGATTCATCCTTCTCCGAGAAATCAACCACCACACGTACAAGCAACGAGGCGAGGAGACCTATCTGCAGTATAACACACGAGGACTGGGCAACAATCGTTACCTCCACGTACTCGATACCATTTTTTAAGTTCCTGCTTAGTCGATTCCCGGGAGCACTATCTTAGTTCAGTAGATAAGAAAGAATCGTTGGTATTTTGATCTGGAAAACACTTTTTAAACTATTTTTTAAAGGTGAGTGGACTTAGCCACAGCTCGCCTTTGAACGAAGTGCAAACAATAACAATCCTGTATGGAAATTTGTTCTTTTGTTCATTTCTTACTGAAACGGTTTATCATAGTCCGACTATGGTCTAGATAACAATTAAATAGCTCGTTCACTTTCGTCCCACCGCGTTACGCAAAATTCTAGCTCTTTGAGAAATTTAGAAATTTACGTATGCCCACGAAACTTTGCATGGCACTTCTGCAGGCCAGCGACTAAATATTTTTGTTGTTGTTGCTGACCCAGTAATATAAAGGTTTTTCTCTTTGGGCCCTATATATTAAAAACCACTCTTTGGATGCATACACAGTATCACTAAATTAAATTACTTACAGTAACCTAGCTCATTTTGAGACAGCGACTCCACCCTGCCCCCACAGTCATTTCAGTGTAAGCTTGTCGATTTCATCCCCAAGACGTCTCCACATGAGTCTCGAAAGGTACTCACCCCGCCTCTTGAATCGTGTTTTCTAAGGCGAACGTTTTAGTGTGGTGTTGAGGAAAACATGTCAACTTCTATATTATTATAATATTTTAGGTGTTTTTTTGTTTTTGTAAAGTGTTTTACGGCGCTCGCAACTGCATAGGTCATATGAGCGCGCGGGACACACCTAATATTTTCAGTTGGTAGGAAATTTTGAATTTTGCCCGGGTGGCGGCCGAAGC